GGTCCATAATCTAATTTGTCCAGCATGGCACATCACAACAAATGTGTGTTTCATAGGATTTTGTATTTAGATGCAATTCTTGCTTGCTTTGGATTACAAAATTTGTTTTTCATTTCACTTTCTTTGCACTTCAGGCATTCAGGGATTATGTTTTTATAGCATATTGTCTGTCCAAATTCAAGCACTTTTAATCTCATAGATTTTAACCCAAGGAAATAATAATAATAATAATAATAATAATAATAATAATAACTACTACTACTACTACTACTACTACTACTACTATTTTTCATTTCTACTAATCTCTCTGCTAAAAATTAAGCAGGGAAATTTGCTGTCAACCAGATTTTGAAGAGCTTCAGCTTAGCTTTTTGTTTTGCATTGATTTGTACATTGCTTTGAGCTATTTTAGGATATCTGTTTTATTAAACGGATACTGTTCTAACAGCAAAAATATTATTGTTTCTTAACTATTACAAGGTCTGAGAAGACCCATTCAGAGCTACCAAATCAAACAGCTGCAGCCCTCTTGATTTAAAAACAAAACAAAAAAGAACAAAAACCAGTGAAAGTGTCAAGAATGTAAATAGCCCTTTAGTTTAAAAGTTGTGTGGAAGAGCTGGTCTTCCTTCCGTCTTGCTGCATGGACAGATTTTTGTAGACAGATGGTGGCATGTAGCCAAAAACCTTCTATGAATGGCTTCCCTCATTCTTTTTGTAAATAAGCATGCATGGTTTTGTTTTCACAAGTGCAGTAGCCATTTTTTGATGTACATGGCAATCTTCCCTAGGCAAATATTTACAGATCCAGAAGAGCTTCGTTTACCAAAGACTGAAGACAGTTTGGTGCCTCAGGTAGAAAATCCAAATTGCACCCACGCCGAGCTAATTATCGTGGGACGTGCAAAACATGAGATGATCTCTTGAACAAGCTATTGGGGTTTTGTCCTAGCTCAGTCGGCCTTGCCCTTTTGAACCAAAGTCTGCTTCAGGTTTTAAGATGAATAATGGAGAGCCCTGCACATCGGGGGGCGGGGGGGGGATGCCATGGGGGCATAACTCTGTTCAATTCCTCACCTACTTAGCAGGTGAAGGGAGGGACAAAATCCCAACCCATTAGTACAACTTATCGAACAGCCACAAGCTAGACTTGGGTTGATTTCCTGAAAAATTTCCATGGGAACCAAGAAGGGAAGAGATCTATTTTGGCTCTTAGTGACTCCCCAAGAGGGCAGAGACAAAATGCACGGCGGTGACATGTGGATTGCTTATGGGTATGCGTCCTTTGATCTCTGCCAGCATGAGAGTTCTTCCAGCCTTGTCTGATTTTAGATTCTGAACCAAGATGTGTCAGGTACCCTGTGCAACAAAGGCCCTGAAGGGAAAACCAAACCTCTGTGCTGCTCTTTGTCTGATGGATTCCTGAATCTCTGGACTTGGACTCAGCAACACAAGCTCCTGCGATAAGGAACCAGTAATCTGGGACTCTGCCGTGTCATGACTAATCTGTGCATCCCTGAACCCGAGTCAGCAGTGTACGGAAATCCTACACCCGGGACTGTTCCCCATGCTTGTGGCTCTGGCTCAGCTTCATCTTGAATCCGTGTGCTCCATTTGGCTTGGAATCCTGCCACACAGCAGTCCTGCAAAGGGAACTATAAAGGGGAGCCTACCTGGTTGTAACTTCTCCTGACCCTGAACTTGCATCGGCTTGGGTTTCCTGAGCACGGAGATCCTGCTTTTGGGAATGCCTCTATTTTTGTCTGCGGTACAAGCCACAACATCTCTTGAGTTGTGAGCCACTGTCTGCCTGCATTGCAAACCTGGATTTTTAAGTGCTTTTGAGCTCCTAACATGGTTTTAAGAGAAAAAGCTCAGGGTGTGCCTGCTTCCAGGCTGTTCTTTAATCTAAGCCACAGGCCATTTGCTCTCGAGTTACCTGATTTGTAACTTCTAAGATTAAATGATGTGACTTCTGAAGTGTGAATGGTGCAACCTGATTTGCTGTTAAATAAAGCTACATTTCTTTCTATGCTGTATCTCTGTTATCCTGTCCTATGATAGGAAGTTAAAATTGCCCCCAAGACCTCCCAGCACTGCCTACATCTGTTAGGGATGGCAGCAAACCATGGGCACCTGTACCTTTTGCAGGTACAACAAGCACATTTGAACTTAGCACTGGCTATTTCTACTGGGAAGGCAGGTGTGGCTAGATCTTCCCAGCGGACAGAGATTGGCGTTCCAGGTTCAGTCCTCTGCATCGCCTGTTCAAAAGATCTCAGGAGGTTGTATTCATTTTTTAGCTAGTTAAAATGAGTTTCATGCTGCCTTTAAGAGTAGAACCCTCTAGCCTAGAAGAGCTAGGAGAGACTTCTGCTGGAGACAACCCTGGTTAGATGGTCTGATGGCCCAGCTGAAGTCAAGGAAGCTTCATTTGTTCCATTCCAGCCTTTGCCAAAAGCTTCTCGACTGTCTAACACAATCTAAGTGGGATGTGGATTGAGGACCTAACAACATTTTCAGTATCTGAATGGGTGGCATTTGGATGCCACCTGTGGATCCATCTGTATCTAGGTATGCAGTCCACCAGCTGATGCAGAATTGTTTTTATGGATAGCTGCATTATTACAAACTTATATACACATTTCATACACACCTGTTATAAGGGATTTCATTGAATCATAGAATAGCAGAGTTGGAAGGGGCCAAGAAGGGCTTCGGGTCCAGCCCCCTGCTGTTGCAGGACACCAAGTCACACCATCCCACCCACTCAGATGGCGATCCAGCCTCTTTTTGAGTGTCTCCAGTGTGGGAGAGCCCCCCACCTCTCCGGGCAGCTGCTTCCACTGCTGTATTGCTCTGACATTGAGGAAGCTTTTCCTGATGTCCAGCGTGAATCTGGGTTGTCGCAACTTGAATTGATTATTCTGTGCCCTACACTCTGGTATCAGAGAAAAGAGCTCTTGACCCTCCTCTTTGTGACAACCTTGTGACAGCATTTGTTTTAACTTCTGCAAGAACATTTTCACATCAGAAATGAGTAATAATTAGGAAGAAGGGCAGCGAGAAGTGATGAGGAGCCCTTCCCTCAGCAAGTTGTTTTCTTGACTTTAGTGCTAGATAACTCCTGACATCTGACTGTGTTGTTAAGCCGGAAGCCATCCCTCCCTAGATTAGCATCAGGAAGAGCTTAAATGTGCACCTTCTACAGGGCTTAGTTGTTGAGGCTGCTTGTGTGCTGAAAGTGATAGAGCCTTCAGTCTTTAGAATGGCAAGGGATTACCCCAACAGACTAGACAAAGCTGATTACTCTCAGCATTATAAGCCCTCCACAGCCCCTGCTCTGCACTTTGCTTACTTATCTCTCTCTTATTTACACACACACTTTGGCTTACCTACCCTTCAGGTCTCGGAACATATTTCTTCACTTTAAAAGGAATCCAAAGAAAAGGATAGATTTGCAGCCATTTTTCCTCACTAAGGAAACAGGCAGTTAGCAAGAACAGACCGGAGCACAACACAAGCAGGACTGGGGACTTCAGCTGAAAATCTAGATAGCTTTTTGTGGCAGAATAGGTGCTTTTTTAATATACTGCAGTCCTGTGCATGAAGAAATGGCAAGAACCCTTTTGCTAGGTGTGTTTTTCGAAAAGCATCTATGAAAAGTGTACATGGGCAGGAAAATCATCCCTGGCATGGAACCTCTGGCTCTTCAGATGTTTTGGCTTACAGTTCCCATAAGCCCCAGCTGGCAGCATGCCTGATGCTCCCTCGGCCAGCATTGCCCAACCCAGACTACAGGAAAGCTCCTTGACTCCAAATGAGTCCTGCTGAAGCGGCCACGAGAGGTCGAATTTATACAGGGAGCGAGGACTGTAGCATATGAATGGACACTCGTGTTTCTAAGCATGGAGGTGGCATTGCATATGAGCTTCAGAAAGCTCCAATCCACTGCGCACCCTTGTGTTTATCAAGCGACAACACATGCAAAACGACTTGTTAGGCTGAGTGTCCAACGCCCTCTGAATGTGACCTTAAGGAGATTAGAAATAGTCTCCCAAACAGCAAAGATTAATCCTGAACAGGGACATGAGGTGCATTTTCCTCTGGCTTCTCAAAAATAAGATGGAGGGGCACTGGTGTGAGTGGATTCCCTAAATTTGCAGTAGAAGCATTTCCACGCTGGATGAACACATGCAAACTTAAATGCAGAAGGTACCTGTAGAAAGTATTCATGTGCGTTTTACTTTGCCACATGTAGGCAGATGGAAGGTGCTTTCCAGCAAGGAAGGGCTTTCTCTGATGAAAAAGTAACATGTGAAGTCGGTGGACTTGGAAACACGCAGGGTGAAGGACGGATCCCAAGCAGAGCGGTCATGGTGCGCAGCTGGGCAATTTGCTAGGTGTTGGCAGTTTGGGTTGAGGCTGCAATCTCACATTTTGGTTTAATCAGCCTCCATTTGGAAGAAGGATGCTTGAGTATAACAAGAACTGGCAGACCATGAAAATGCCCCTTTTTTGCAAGGAAAGATGCATGTGCCCTTTTGTAAGGACATAGAAGCAATTATTCTTCCTCTCTTTTCCCACACGTTTACTACCATTTGAAAAGACACTACACTGCAGAAGTTTAAGAGACAGAGGTAGCTTACTAAAAGAAATCAAAACTACCATTTGAATAAATCAAAGACTTGTTCTTACCATTGGAAAAATAACCATTCACATGCAGCGGTGTCTCAGGGTTAGTCTTTAGTCATTCCCAGCAATTTTCTTCTCATTCATTGCACAAGCATGCGCGACCATGAAAACACACGGTGTACACTTTTACAACGGCTTCCTTCATCAGTAAACGTACCAGCACATTCAAAATCACAAGTACCAGCATGCCCCGGGGCATTCAAGAAACAAAAGCCATCCCAGCATGTTAAAATGATGTTATATGAAGAAATGAACATGAGGTTGGCGAGGAAAAGGTGCATTCCGTATCTTAGGCATACGTTTACCTGCTGCCTCTGGTAAGCGGAGAACGTTCTCTCGAGGTCTTCAAGATCTAACACCTTAAACACCTTGGAGTCATCAATGTCAGTCCACATGGTTCCTTCCAGCTTGTTCTGGGAGTTACAAGAAGAGGGAAGAAGCATTACTTTCTCTATGCACTATATTTTTGTACCAAAAAACAAACAAGCTATGAATAGTGCTCTTTGACAAGGTCACACCTAGAAGTGACTACAACTTTTGATGGAATTACCAGAAGAAAATGTGAAGTAGCGCTGCTGTCACTCTCTCCTCCTCCCTCTGTCCCAAGTGCATGAAACAATGTCAAGTTCCAGGGAAATGGAGTCCTTCCAGTGTAATATGTAGATCAGGGCCATAAGAGTAGCCGCGTTAGACCAGACTGGAGAAGTCCATCTGGTCCAGCATTCAGCTTCAAGCAGGAGCCCAAGGGATGCATATGGGAAGTTCTCAGGCAGGACACAGAGGAAAGAGACCCTTCCTTCTCCCCGTTTCTTCCCAGTGTCTAGCATTCCTAGCTATGGACTTTGAGAAACAGACCAAACTATAGCCTGCAGGAACCTAACCCAAAAGACTGCAGGAAAAGCTGCGATGGATGGGAGCAGAATCCTTACCTCAGGCAGCTTGCACCAGTTGAAGGACTTGAGGGCATTTGTGGGCTGCGGGATGTTTTTCCTTTTGAGTCCCAGAGGTGCTCCTGGAGCTGGGGTTGGACCTCCGAGTGGAGGAGGACCTGGTGGAGGAGGTGGACCACCAGGAGGTGGCGGCGGCGGCGGTGGCGGGGGTGGAATGATTCCCCCAGGAGGTGGTGGAACTGGAAGAAGCGATCCTACAGCAGCTGTAGGTAAGGGCCCCCCTGGAGCACCAGGCGGTAAAGGGGGCCCAGCAGGGATGGGAGCACATACTGCTCTCTGAAAGAGAGAGAGAGAACACGCCATCATGGCAGGAACGACAGGGCAGCCAAAAGCACAAACAAGCGTGGCTCCATCCTGGGTATCCATCCCTGTCCTGTCATTTTCATTCAGCCTACAGAGATTGGCCTGTTCCTCCTACAACACTTCCTCCAAAAGCTGCGGCTTTGGATTCTGATTCAGAAGGGAAGAAGAGGTGAGTCTGAACTTGCAACTAGACTGCTATGACCAATGGACCCAGAGGTAAGCTCCTGAGAACCAAAGGTATTTGAATTTGTAGAGAAGTTCTGGGGAGAAAACTGGGATGGGTAGGAGTGAATCTAACTTCATTTGTCCAGTTCTATGGCATCAGGATAGAGGGTGGACCAACAGAGAAATGTTAGATGTTCCAGATTAACCTCTCAGCAGCATGATCCACCTTGGCGGCGGTGTCAACTCTTTTTGGTTGGAAAGGGAGGAGATGCATTCAATTTGGAAGCATCGTCCAACTGCATTTCCCTAACGGACCATATTCTAATTTCACTTGTGTCATTGACTTCTGCAGTATGAAATCTCCTTTGGGCAGAGACACCAACATTCGAATTATGGGTTTGACCACACCCTCCTCACAGTAACATGAAAGATCTTTACTGCCCCAAACCCAGTTTTACAGTCAATCTCATTCTTCTGCTGGATGGCAATAATGTGAGGATAAATGAATTTGGTCCCCGCAAGGAGGACTTGCAATCCGGTCTCACCCTGCTAAGTTCTTGGAGCTGCGCCGTTAGCTCTGCCACTTGCTGTTTGACTTGTTTATGCTCAGACAGTTCTTTTTCTAGTTTTTCCTTCATTTTATTCAAAGTTTGCATCATCTCTTCTTTCTCCTGGGTCTTAACATCACACTCCCGCTCTTTCTTTTCCAATTTCTGCTGGAGCTCATGGTGTTCTAAAAAAAAAAAAAGCAATTTAAATATGTCGCAGTGGCTTATTTTCAGTGGTTGGCTGGGATGTCGTGGGAATGATGGTGGAGAAAATTGTCCTTATACTGAAGCCTGGGACCACTAGCCCCACTGACCTCCACCCTATGAGCACTCCCTGATTTCAGCGAAGCTTGTGCAAGAAAACCTTTGCAGTCAGGATGGAGAAAATGCCAAATTTCTTTTATGCAACATAAACAAGCCATTGGAAAGCAGAATAGGGGTTGGAACAGGTTTATCCTACAGAACGGATGATTTTAATAACTGTGCAGGTGACAGAGCAAGAAAAGATTCACTTGCTACAAGTTTCACTGCTGTACTGCTCTTAACAGTCAGGAAGCTTTTCCTGACATCCAGCTGGAATCTGGCTTCCTACAACTTGAGCCCATTATTCTGTGTTCTGCACTCTGGAGTGATTAAGAAAGATCTTGGCCTTCCTCTGTGTGACAGCTTTTCAAGTACTTGTAGAGTGCTATCATATTTCCCTGCAGTCTTCTCTTCTCAGGGCTAAATATGCCCAGCTCTTTCCCTCTCTCATCGCTGGGCTTTGTTTCTAGTTCCTGGATCATCTTTGTTCCCTCCTCCAAACCTTTTCCAGTCTGTCTGCATCTTTCTTGAAATGTGGTGCCCAGAACTGGATACAATACTCAGGATGGGGCCTAAATGCTGGGGAATAAAGGGGAACCAATACTCATGCGATTTGGCAACTATATTTTTATCAGTGCTGCCCAAAATACCATTTGCCCTTTTTGTAGCCACTTAATATAATGTTGGCTCATATTCAGCTTCTAATTACCACACTCCCAAGACAACCAATTCTCAGCCTAATCCACCTCACAAGGTTGTTGTGAAGATCATAGCTTGACTTGCAATAAGGATGTATTCTACATTATTAGAAGCTTTTACACAAGTGAAAAAGCATCTGTTGGGGAATTTCACCTACTCCCTTCATATCTATAGGAAAATTTGTTCCACAGAAAATGGTTTTAACTGGTGGTCTTCAACATTTCCCCTTAAGTCCTATTACCGTATGATGTAAGAAAAGAAAACGAGCCCAAAAATGCAGTGATGACCTCAGGCCAGATAAAACAGACATTTTCCCCCTTCTAGATTGTCCTCATAAGGCAGCTACCCCACACATGCAGAAGTCTGGAGGAATGCCCAGCTCATGAAAGCAATGCATCAGCGAACCGAAGAGACTGTTTTCTGCTATCCTGCTGCCCCTTTTCTACTCCTGGAAGTTACTCCTCTCTTGAAAAAGATTTTGAAACAAGGGTTTCTTCTCATGCTCACAAAAAGCATGAGTTCATCCAAGGAATACTAAAAAAATTGTACAGTCCAGATGCTTGCACTAAGGTCAAGAATTATACATTACCGAAAACTCCCTAAATCCCCACTTCTGAGGTTTCCTACTTCTTCACTGTTCCTCAACTCCAATATTTAGACGCTACACCACCAAGACCCTACTATGAGCAAAACTCAAATCTGCCAGCTCACCCGGGGAATATTCTGGAACTTGCCCCTCTGTGCTGTCACTCCCTCTCTAAGCAAGCGGTTACCTTAAAGTTTAAGGCTTAAACTGAGGAAGAAGGCAGCTCCCTTCAACTAAAGCCCTGGTAGGACAAGCCCCCCAAGGCCTCCGTTTCCTTTACCTCCAGGCCTTCAGAAACCATCTGCTGCACCATTGCCCCGCGGTCCTTCTCTTATAGGCCTGGTTGCCATGGTGATGGTTCATCTACTCTGTCTCCCACACAACCCTCTTTGGGAAGCCCTGCCTTAAGCCACGAAGATTTGGTATTTTCCTCATTCACCTTTTCTCATCTTTTCTGCTTGTTCTTTCCACTGCTTCACTTCATTTTCATTAACCAACCTAGAAAGAAAAACACACAATCCCTCATGAAAACAATAAGCATTGAACACTCAGTAAAAGCTAGACCCCGAACCAAGGATTAGGTAAAGCCTGGAAGATTGCATCCATATGTTCAATTAGTTCATTTCCCTCCCACAAAGCTTTTTACAATGGAAAGGGTTTTTGTTTATATGTTGCTACCTTGAGAGTTATTTATAAAGGTTGGGCTCATTAAGTATTGCCAGATTTTTCAGAGATCATTTTGTCTTGCCCACAAGAGATGAGGTGGAAAAGCTCACTGACATCCGGATGCCCTCATCCTTGGCTACTACATCCCGTACTAGAATGCTATGGGATGCTTACAAACACCCCACTTGATAGAGGGGAAGGTGTCAGCAATGAAATGTTGGCAAAACAAGGGACACGGAAAAGGTATATTAACCTTTCAAAATGGCAACTGCACTACAGTAGTAGATACAAGCTACACATAAGGTGGTTTGTGTGATCATCAAAGTCTAACATGGCTTACATAGGCCACGATGAATTGTGGCACCTGTGGGTTTTTTATTCAAGTCCTGGCCATGGCTTGTCATGTTGTCTGAACCCAGCTAACAGGTTGTTTGAGGGTTAAACTAACCACAAACAACCCATGATCTACTGTAGAATTAAAGTTGTTAAACACAGGTTCAGACAATGCAACGAACTATGGCAAAACCCCCACTAGGGGGTTGAATTTTCAAAATGGCTGCTTGGCAGTCCACGCCGAGCGCACTGGTGATCATGTGAGCTGCCCTGACCTGTCTGGTTGGTTCCTCACCTTGAACAGGGATGAGGGAGGAGAGAAAATAGAAGTATCTTCCTATCTTTATGATACTCTCCCAGTCCTAGTGAACAAGGACGCTTAAAGAATTAGCAGCCAGTGCATGTGGAGCTGGCCTCTGCTTTTGGTGGCTTTTTCAGGGATGGGCTACCAGCAGTGGTTGGCGGTGATGGCTACCAATGGAACCTCCATGTTCAGAACTGCCAGTTGCTAGTTGCCCAGGGAGCACCAGTGTCTTTCTTCATTTATTGAGTTTCTATACTGTCCAATAGCTGAATGCCCTCAAGTGATGGATAAAAAATCATAAAAGCAAGACCATAATGCAGTAGGACACCAAGCGGAGCCTTATTTATTTATTTGGAGTTTTTATATGCCGTCCCATCGCTTAACGCCGCCCTGCTTCCAAGAAGCATTCTGCAGGCCATGATGGAACGGAGGACACATGACCAGTGGAAGCTCGTGGCAGCCATCTTGATGGGGGAATGCACCCACCTCCAGGTTTCAGGCTGAACTTTTAAGGCGCTACCCACAGTACTGCATCCCAGCCCCAATCTAGCTTCAGTACCACGGACAGCTCTTTTGAAGTTCAGGCTGCCCCCAGGACCGCTACACCACCTCACGGGTGTGGAAGCCAATAGCTCATCAACAGGCTCCCTATTAAGTTCTTCTGTGTATGCTCCAGCCAAGAGTGTGGAAAATTGCCGTTAAAATGTCATTTATATTTGTAATGCCCATGAAATCCATTCCCTTTTCTCGAAATATAATAAAACTGAAGAAAGGCAGAAGAAAATTCTGCCACCAGCGTTAAAAGTTGCATGGGGTATGAGTTAGTCCTATGTAGAGCAGACTTATATAAATGAATGAGGCTCAAGTTAGCTGTGACTCTCATGCAATGCAATGGGTCTACTTTATGTAGAACCAACACCTGCCATTCATGGTGTTCTAGAGATAAAGGGCTAATTGAATGCACACTCCCCCAAACCCTATGAAAGAAAGAATAAGAAAGCTGAGATAAAGGGCACTTCTAGTTCCAGCGTTCAATTCAGAAAGAGCCCTTACATGCGGACAACATTTTTAATATTAAAGTTCTCCAAGGGAGTTGAGTCCGGGTCCTGCCCTTTGTCATTCTGGATTACTATTTGTTGTATAATACGGTCCAACAGCAGCCAGTACTGAACGGTGTTGCCATTTCTTTTGTCTAGAAAGAGAAGAATAAAGACATGGTGTTGAATACAGAAACCTTTGGCAAAATGTTCTGGAAGAAATTAGAATCCCCGTTGCAAAATACTTTTCCCCAGAGGGCATATACAGTGGTACTTTGGTTCACGAACTTAATCTGTTCCAAGACTGGTCACGACCCAAATTGGTCATGAGCCAACTCAAATTTCCCCATAAGGTTCAATGTAAATAAGGTTTATCCGTTCTGTAACCATTTTTTTAATCACAAAAATTTGAAACGAAGTGGCAAAGAACAGCAAAGATCAAGGCCATCTCCCCCCCAAGCATGACTGCGATCGCGCCCGTCTTCCCTGCACAAGCGCGACCGCAATCACGGCTACAGATGGGCGCAATCGCGCTTGGGCAGGGAAGATGGCCGTGATCGCAGCCATCTCCCCCCCGCCCCGAGCATGACCACAATTTGCACCTGTGCAGGGAAAATTTTTCTGAAATTTCTGTTCGCGACCCAATTTGGTCGTGAACCGAGGTGTGTGTGAGCCGAGGGACCAGTGTAATCATGAGTCGCCTTCTCCCATTTGCAGGGCATGTGTGTCGGTCTCTGAAGCTCCAACGTGGAGCTGAAGAAAAGCGGGAGGGGCAGAGCGTGTAGTAGGCAGGCAAGAAACCACTGAATATGGCACGCTTGTGGATCTGGCTGTAAGTGTGCGTGGGCGGGAGCGGAGGAAGTGGCAGCCTAAACTATCTGGATGTTTTAAGCTAGAAATGGGATGCATGTGTGAACCGGCTACTTTAGTTTGAAGAAAAGGAAGCTGTGAGACCAAAAACTGGAAAGCGATCCATTCTAGACTGTTGGCAAGTGGGTGTGGGGGCACCCCAGCTTCTTGCTCTAAAATCCCCCCCCCCGTTTCATTTCATTTTTTATTATCCTTCACTTGATTAGAGGCATTTCTCTAAGAAAGGTTCAAGGCATCTCGCACAGCAAAGTTTCAAAGCATACTGAGAATTAAAAACTATTAAAATGAATTAAGACCTGGTCAAATTTCCAGATCAAGAAGCCTTCTGTCAAATGCCTTGGAGCAGGGGAAAAGCTTGCACTAGTGCTGAATAGAAGACAATGTTCGGTGCCAGGTGGCCCTCCCTATGGCTCAAAGTCCGTAATCTTGGACCCAAAACTAAAAAGGCCCTATTCCTTTTTTGCCATCCCCAAAGGCTTCAGATGTGTTGGTGACATATAGGCAGATGGGGGGGGGGGTGTCACACGGAGGTGGGTAGAGACCTGTTCTCCCCTACAGAGGAAGGCAGGATGTGCTCCAACGGAGCCAAGCTCAAGGAACTGAGGTTCAATTCGGATGCCAGAAAGCACTTCCTGACAGTCAGGACCCCGAGGGTGTGGAATGGGCTTCCACAGGAGGTGGCTGAGGCCCCATCGGTGAGGGTGTTCAAGGACAGGCTGGACATGCACATGGCAGGCATGTCATGAGCGGAGCCAGCTGGAACTGGGGGTCAGACTAGATGGCCAGGGAGGCCCCTTCTGACTCCCTCTGTTTCTATGTTTCTTTGTCGATCATAGTCCCTGGGTAAGTTCATACCCTCCCTGGCTACCACTTCAGCAAACAGCACCACAGGGGGCAAATAGCAGCTGGTGGGGTGAGACGTTTAGCAGGAAGCTGGCGACTCCCTGTGCACACGTCAGATCAAGAATGCATTTTGGCTCAGAGCCCCAGAGCGCTTTTTCTTCAGAGTAAAACCTTTATCAGTTTAAAAATCATGACTACAGATGTCTTTTGAAGCCAATGCAGCTCCGAGGCTCTGAAACAGAATGTGCACCCTTGATCTCATGGTGCTGGGGAGAATCATGTGGAATATCTCCCTACCTCCCTTGGCTGAACTTTTTTCATGAAGGAGGGCAAGGAAAAACAGCAGAGAAAGATACAGAGGGGAAATTGGTAGGTACAGATGGATAGGAAGTTCCTTAAAACTAGGGAAACTTGAGGAATGTGGTCATTACAGAAGAAACCACAACCTTATTTCTTTAGTCAATTAAAATTTTATTTATTTTTATTTATTTTTCGATTTATATCCTGCCTTTTTCCTACAAAGAGCTCAAGGCAGCTTACATCTCCTCCTCCATCTTATCCCCACAACAACAACCCTGTGAGGTAGGTTGGGCTGAGAGTCTGTGACTGGCCCAAAGTCACCCAGTTGGCTCCATGACTGAGCAGGGACTAGAACCCAGATCGTCTGAGTCCCAGTTCCATGCTCTTAACCACTACACCACACTATCACACCTATTTTCCTCTTGCCAGGAACCAAAAGTGGCTTATCTGGCCCTGCTCTCAATTTTATGTTCACAACAACCCTTTGAGGTAGGTCAGCCTGAGAGTCAGTGACCCTGTGGGCCAAGGGAGCTTCATCACCAACTGGAGACTAGAACCTGAATCTCCTGAGTCCCATTCTAATAGGCTAACTTATATGCCACAGACAGAAGATTGGCATGTTGCTTCCACCAAATTTTGCACTTCTCCAGATTTTCTGGCATATGACTTGGCAATTTAATTGTACCAAAAATTGCACTCAAATATGTATCTTTGAACAGGAAAAGATGCTTGTTACACTTGCAATATAGTCCATATTTTGAGAAGAGTGTTTGAAGTGTACTGGCTAGAGTGTTGTACTGGGTGTTGGGAGACTGGGGTTTTAGCCCCCACTCAGCCTGAATTGGTGATCTCAGGAGGGCCACTACCAGGTGAAGTGGACCATATCCTCCTACAAGGACTGGTCAGCATTTGATGTAATGATTAGTGTGGATTCAGGAGATCCAGCTTCTAGTCTCTACTCAGTCAGAGTCATTTAGGGTGCAATTCTGTGGGCAGCGGAGGCTGTCTAGGTGGCTACTGAAAAACTGGAGGTGCAGCCACAAGCTCAGAGAAATGCCGCGAGGTTGGAGCTAAGGCTCCCAACTGGAAAAAACACCCTTTCTCTCCTTGTAGCCAGATTGGTTCTTTCCATGCTTGGGGGGAAGGGAGAAGCAAGGCTCTGCTGGGATATGAGGAATTCTATCAGTTCCTCCTCCTCCTTAGGGATAAACACTTAGGTGGCTGAAATCTTTAAGCATTTGGAGGGCTGCAAGAGTGTGGGGACAGTCCTGGTTTCCTTCCACCTTCTTTGGATGCCTGTAACTCCCTGAATCTTGGATGGTACTGTCAAGCAGAGCCATCACTGATTCCTAGCCTAACCTTTTCTCATAGGGTTGTTGCGAGGATAAAACAGAGAGGAAGATTATGTGACCCGCCTTGGGTTCCTTGCAGGAAAAAAAGGCAGGCTATAAACATCATCAATGATTGAATGAAAGGAATTATGAGTAAGAACATGAAAAATACATTAGATTAATGCATCCAGCCCTACTTACGACAAATACCTATTAATATCCCTTTAGAAACAACAAATGGTGTTCAAGTGTTGCTTAAGTGAAATATTTGCACTGGTTTGCTGGCAAGGTGCTAGCTGACCCATGAGGACTGCATATTGGTATTTGGTATATTAATAAAACCACACATATATTGTGCTTACAGAAGCAGCTTGGAGAATATTTGGAAAGTGTCACGTTCAAATCACAACGTTCATCTTCTAGCACACACCTTCCAATAGAAGTTATTTTAAGGAAGGCTCTGAAAAGCTGTCTCGAGAAATAGCATGGAACTACATGAAGACGCATGGATCAAAATGAATCAACAAAAGGTGTCGCTGGTGCGGCGAGGACAGGGAATGATGTCAGGTTAGAAAACAGCAATGTTATTCCGAGAAATTATTTGTGCTCTGAAATGCTGAATCAGTGAAAAAAAGTGGAAAGGAAGAAAGGACAGGATAAATTATTTGGAAGGGCGAATCAATTGTCTACAATAGTTCCTGAGAAATTTAGTTGATGACTCCACTGCTTCAAATGTACCATTGTTAGAGACTGATGGAGTGGAATGTTTAAGGACGCCGTTCATAAGGGAGCTCATTTGGCGGAGCCATTACTGAGCGGGGAAACGGCCTTGCAAAAAGTCACATCCTTCAACATTCCCAATCAAGGCAGATGTTCGCATTTGATCTGTGCATCTGAGCAATCATCAAACCCAGGTGAACTTCAGGGAAATGTTTTTTAAAAGCAAATGTGAGTATTTCCCCCTAAAAATATCTTGGTAGAACAGGTACATCTACGGATATGAAGTACTTCGTCACTACTTGGAAGCAGATCACTGGGTATTTGTGGGTCGGAGGAGCAGAAGGACCTTCCCTGGGGTCTCCCAGCCTACAAAAGTGACTGAAGCATCAAAGAAGGAAATCACACAAGAGGCTGAAACTGACGTGGGACGTCTACAAAAGCATGGAGGCAATCGAGGAAATAGCATATGCAGTTGATTGAAATGACAGTCGAGCTAAAGCAGATTTTTCCTGAATGCTCCAGGGGGCTGGGGAAAAGGCTTGTTTATCAAACTTCGTTGCAGGCTCTGCTTGGGCCAGGAAAGAAATTCATGGCTTTGGCTTGGAACGGGAAAGCAGCTGCGTTATTAAAAGGAGGGAAAACTGTACATGATCAATTTAAGCTGTCAGAAAACTCAGTGACTTGTATCCAGAGTTCCTGTGAGTGGGAGGCTGGAGCGGATCACTGGCGCCCGGCTCTCCTTGCTGAAGGCTCAACGGCAGCAAAGATGCGCACTCCGGGGCTGGGATGAATCTCTCGCTCCAGCACTCAGACTTTGCGTGTTCAGTCCCTCTTAGAAAGGCAGCAAAGACAGAGGGAAGTCCGTGAATGCCCATGCAGAGGAGGATGCAGAATCGGCAACCCTCTGCATCACGTGCAGCCGTGCAAGCAAAGCTTGCGGCACAAGGCACGGAAGAGGGGCGGTGTCTGCACGGCACGTGGGCTCCATGCCCCATGAGCGGTTAGCGTGCGTGCCGGGAGCACTCACTCAGGGCCCATAACAAGGCCCTGGTTCCATTTTGCAGGCGGGAATACACGGGTGGCCCTGGGCTTGGCTCCCGGATGCTGGTTTGCTGTCCTTGGGCCGTGAGTCTGGCCTCCGTCAAGCTCACCCAGCACTCATGCAGCCCTTGCCAGCAACGGACGCCTGCCCGATTGCTGCACACGCCTCAGTCCTTTGTGTGCCAGGTTGTTTCTGCCGCTGCGTCATGTGGAAGAAGGCTGCCGGTTGCACGACTGGCTCCTGCAACTATTTGCAGGCTTCCTCCGAGCTCCGCTCACTTTCTAAGGCAGGGCTCAGCATGAAAGGAGGATCTGTGGACTAAAGAGTCTGTGCGCCGAGTCCACGGAGCGTCTTTGTAGCTGCAGAACAGCCCAAGGGCACTGCAGGACGGCTTGTTTCACCCTTGAAGCAGCCCCTCTTCTCCCTACACCAGCCTGCCCACAAGAACAAGGGTGGGTTGTTGTGTCATCTGAACCAGGGGAACAAGTCTGACTTCCGAGGAGACAGGTACTGTCAAAATTCAATGCAATGTGAGCAGGCAGCTTGTCCCAATGGTACATTGGGACAAGGCACCAGCTAGTGGTTCTCATGCAGCTGCAAGATTTCAAGGGATCCCACGAAAACAGAGGGCAGGTTCATTTTCTGGAGGATGTTACTGGACTTGAGGGACGAGGCCATCCGGGGCTACTGGTTATGGGCACCAGAGCTAACCTGCCTGCGAATCCCAGTTGCCAAAAAGCGTGTGTAGGAGGCCTGTGCCCATCCTGCAGGAGGGATCCTGTGGACAGCTGGCTGGCCACCGTGTGTACCAAGGGCTGGACTCAACGGACCTTGGGTCTGATCCTGCAGGGTTTTTCTTATGTTCTATTGACTTCTGGGAGCTGTCAGCCAACCTTTCCTAGTATCCTTTTCCTTGAGACAAACTGCCATTTGCAGCAGCAACCCATCCAGCTTTGGGAAATATTTTAAGCACTCCAGTAGAAAAAAAGCCAGACAGCATATTCAGTTCTAAGATTTGCAATATTCCCTGTTCTTTAGAAAGACTATGATGTGTAGCCTGCAAATCTCACTGCTTCCATGGAGTAGTAGCAAAGATTTAAGAAGTCCTCTGTAATACTAATTACAGAACAAATCATGTCAGCCTTTCCAGTTTCTAAAACCAGATATTTTTGCCAATTCCAAAAAAATCATCTACGGTGCAAGATGGAAACAATGAATTTACTCACAAGGCATTTGGAGACAGTGGTGAAGGACAGACATAAAGTGCGGGTACGCTTCCGTATGAGTCAACCTTTTCCTGGTGAGCTCGAACATCTGAGTTGCGCTTTTGGTATCTATATGGACCTGTGTTGTTGTGATGGAGAAAAAGAGTTAAAACTGAACTTAGTACTTCCAAGAAAGATTTACTGCTTGAAATCTCTCAGACAGTGAAAAGTTGCTAGCTTCTTTGGATTGGATTCCCTGGGCTTGGCTCCACGGGCACGAATCCAAGTTCCCGGTGAGTGTGTCTAGCGTGCGGCCACTCACCTGGAACGGGGCCCCACACGACTGCTGTGCAAGCGGCATCCCTCTTCCATGTCATGTGCAGATTTTGTGGTTTCTGCTGGTGCACATGATGTGGATGGATGCCAACTGTACAACCAGGTTATGTGAGTTTTCACTGACTTCCTCTTGGCTTAGCTTCCTTGCTAAGAACAGGCCAAGCATGAAAGGAAATTATGAATGCTAGAGGGACATTTTCCATGGAGACTCGTTGCAGGGGAGGCAACATGCGGTGAGACTGAGGGAGCTGGTTCTTTTCAGCCTGGAGAAGAGAAGACTCAGAGGGGATCTGCTGGAAACATACAGGTACGTGAGGGGGTGCCACATGGAGGTGGGTCGAGACCTGTTCTCCCCTGCAGAGGAAGGCAGGACGCGCTCCAACGGAGCAAAGCTCAGGGAGCCAAGGTTCAGTTTGGATGCCAGGAAGCACTTCCTGACAGTCAGGACCCCGAGGGTGTGGAATGGGCTTCCACGGGAGGTGGCTGAGGCCCCATGGGTGAGGGTGTTCAAGGATAGGCTGGACGTCCGCATGGTGGGCACATCATGAGCAGAGCCTGCTGGAGCCGGGGGTCAGACTAGATGGCCCAGGAGACCCCTTCTGACTCACTCTGTTTCTATGTTTCTAACCTTAACCATTATTTAAGTATATGTGTGTGTGCACATGCGTGCATCTTTCTGTGGATCGGTGTGCATGTGGATATACTCGCACCAAGAAATGTGTGAATGCTTCAAGTTGATAAAAAATGTTAATATTCACATGTGAATGTTGGCAACCCCTGACAAGCTTTTGCAAGTGCGCTAGAACTCTGAGGTGGCCCCAGGGAAGGTCAGTGTTCACCTCACTGGAATGGATGCATGTCCAAAATAAAGCAAGTTGGAGGCCAATTTTAGGGCCTGGGCCAAATTCACCCTTGTTTTGCAGCATTCCAGTGCGGATATTAAGATTTGTTGCAATGTAGACACATCCTGGGAGGTTCAACTTTTATTGCTGCTCAGGCACAACAGGTGTGGGGCGTTTGTGAAATGGTTACCCAAAATCCCTCAAGCCATTCAGGATGCATTTTCAAGGGCCACTGCAAAAGGGCAGCTATATGGTTTAGTTTCTAGGGTACTCCCTGTCTAGTTCAAATGCTTCCTTTTTCATTCGAAGAAGTAACAGGCTGCACATACATACCAGCTCAAACCTTTTGGCAAACTCCAGTTCGTCTTCATTTCTGAGCATTTCAAAAAAGTCTAAATGCCTGGAAAAGAGGGAAAGGAGAGGCAACTGAAAATACATTTGTTGCAGCGGGTTACTGAAGCAATTTTGCCAACAGATTTCAAAAGGTTATTACGCTAATTAGCCATTTCTGGAGTAGCCAAGCCCTTCCACTGCCATTTCAGACAGGCTTATGGTCTTAATGTAAAAGTTATCCTCTGAACTACCCTGGAAAGCCTCCAATTCCTGCCCCAATTTAAACATAGGAAACAAAAGTGGTGGAACCGGCTGTCATCTGAATTTATATCAGGCTAAGCCAGCTTTGCCCTACCAGGTGCTCTCCAGATGTTTTGGACTCCAGATGGTTTGGCTCTCCACAATATCTGATCATTGGCCATTCTGAATGGGGTGGATGGGAACCAGAGCCCAAAAGTTCTGAAGACCACCAGGCTGGGGGAAGGTGGGGTCTGTGCTGGAGTGCTCCACTTCTCCTCCAAGCCCCAAGGAAGCGGCCTCTCCATTTTCAGGATGAATTGATGTAGCTTTTGTGCACCTACAGGCTTTGGCCCGTGTGCACATGTGGTGATGTGAGGAACCATCTTGAGCACCACCACAAAAGGGTGGCCATGGGAGGAGTGGCTGGTGGCAACGGACAAGCAATCTGCCCAAAAGGCTGAATGCAAGCAGAGGTGAGTTCCCAGGCGCAACAGACGGTACATAAATGCATTGCACTTTTTTAGAATAAAAAGGAACCCCCAGGAAAGGTGCCAGGAATGCACCTTTGTCCCCAGGTGTCATGTTACCTACTCTGGTCTAGAAACATGGACATGCCTCTTTTATTTCCAATAATGCACAACGTCCAGGGAGAACTAAAGATTGTGAGAGGGAGAGGAACACAGAAAAAATGACAGTTCAGCTCAACCAGGAAAGCTTACCGATCTAAGGTAGAATTTTCATGCTCTCGTAGTTTGTCAATTACAGGCTGGATTCCAAGCATGAGGAATTCATATCTAAGATGCAGTCTGAAATCCAAACTTTCCTGTAAAAGAGGAAGGGGGGAGGAGGTATTTCAAAGAGGGCACTTTTGCTGAAATGGACTTTTAGACAGTTTCGACAGTGGTAAAACTTAAGCTGGGGCAGAAGGGAGAAAGCTTGTTGAAGGTAGTTCATTCTTGGTGTCCCAGCCACAGAGGCAGATGAAACAAGAAGGCATCCCAGAATACAGGTGGGGAGATGATCCATGTCTTTGCCCTGATGCTCTTTTCTGCTCCATGACATGACAGACTGGTCCACATAACCCTCCACTGAGGGATGAGTATTAAAATTGGCTGCCTGTACACACAGGAACCCCACCACAACTTCAAGACACGAAGGTGGGCTTCAACAGCCTCATAAATCAGGTATGTATTTCTTCTGAAGGTTCAAAACACTTTCAAAGAGCTTCCAGGGGAAGAGTTACTGGAGCTTAGGAAAATAGGCTGGGCCAGGGATGAAGGCTGCATGATGGCCACAAAGAGTGGGGTGTAAATAAACAGAATAAATACATTCGGCTTAACGACTGCCCTTAGGGCTTTGCTACCATGACAACCAGATGGAAAGCAGGTTTAGCTCAGGGATGGGGAACATGTGTCCATCCAGGTGATGTTGCTGGAATGCCTATCAACCCTCGCTATTTTGCCTGCCACAATAGATGGGAGTTGGAATCCAACACCCTTTGGAGGGCCACACTTTCCTCACCCAGCCTTAGAAACTAAGGGGGAGTCTGCAGCTCAGTGCCTTATCTGCATATATAACATCCCAGATCCAATCCGTGGCTTCTCCAAGTAGGATTGCGAAGGAATTCTGTCAGCAACCCTGCCAATTCCCATGGGCATCACTGAGCTAGACAGTCCTAGGGTGAATCAGTTTCCTATTTTCCTTTGAAACATGTGGGAAATTGACACATCCCCTTGCAAGGGCGTTCTGATTCCCTCTTTCCAGCACCTCTCCTTTGAAAAGGGCATATTTTCATTTCTCAGTGAGGATAAGCACAAGCTGCTTACACTGAGACCTTGCAGATCTCCTGTGTGGAAGAAAGAAGGGGGAACCGTACAAAGAAGTTTGTGGGAAGCCCAATTCATGCGCCACTACATTTCTTCCCCTAACTGCTGTCTCCAAGTGCTTCAAGCACCAGGGGTCAGATCCTGCAGGCTCCCAGAATCATCATATCATGATAATGTGCAAAATTATTATTTCACGCTGCCCCCGACTTTCTCAGGGAGTTCATGACAAAGAACACTGGGGGTAATGTTCCCAGCAGCACGACAGCCAGCACGGGCCAAGGTGCATGAACAGGAAGTTTCTGCCACCAGCAAATGCTTGCTCAAACTCATGTACGTAAACACACAAGAGCATCCAAACTTACCACTCCAGCTCCTTGGCTCAGAACTGCGTTGATAAAGGACATAATGGCCGTCTTGAGGCTCACCTCATCCCGGTATCGCCCTGTACTTCTGTCTAAGTCATTGATTAATGTCTGCGGAACAGAAGGTTTTGGATTAATGTTGTTTGTTTGGTGCCACCAAGTCGTCTCTGACTTATGCTGATCCTATGAACCAAAGCCCTCTGAAATTTCCCGTGCTTCACAGCCCTGTTCAGCTCTCATAAACTTTGGAATAATGCTATCTGTGGAATACACAGTTGGGCACAGATGAATAGGGGCGTAATGCAATCTGTGTAAACTGGATTAATGCAAATATTGGCAAGTTTTTAGTAATTTTACTATGTTTATATGGCTTTTTACTGATTTTATTTTCTGTAGTTTTTATCCTGTATGACGCCTTGAGAAGATGCCACCCATAAAGGTGGCCTAGAAAATTTTTTAGAGAAAGGATCAAATACACTAAAAATGAAATGCGCATAATGAAAGAGACATGAAAACACAAGCACAGAAAGAGCTGGCCTGTCAGTCTGAGAAGATCAGGTGTCTAAGTTTGCACTGTTGCACAGAATTATGCAAGCTTCTGAGCCAAGTGGTTATAACTCAGTGAAAAACAGAAGAGGGCATGATCTACAGCAACTTCCAAGCATATATTAGGAGTTATTCATGGTCTAGGATGTCCCCAATTTGATATTTTTTAGAAAATATAAACCCAACCCCTTCAAAGTAAAAGGCTAATTGCATTTATGTAAGAGCCCTATTTAGGCTTGCTTTCACACCCTGGAAAGTGGATTTTGAGGACAGAGTCTAACTTCTTGGGAGACTCTGAAAGAGATGGCTTTTCTGTTTTTTCCACCGACAAAGGAGGATTTTATATTGCTTCAAAAGCCTGCAAACTCTGCTTGTCAGATGGGACAAATGAACGCGTCGTCGTTCTGGGGAACACGCCGTCCCTCAAACCACTTTCTGGTGCTGCTTGCATTCTGGATCGGGCCCCCAATGCAGCAACGGGACCCTCCATACCTGGAAGCGCGTCCTTTCGCTGGCATATTTTTGGTAATGCACCATGGCCTCCAGGACCTTCTTGTGCCCTCCGGGAACCAGGCACACGGCGCCCATGATTTCCAGCACCGCCACCTTCGTCTTAATGTTTTCTGTGCTCAAGCTCTGAGCTATGACATTGATGCTCTCCGAGTGTGCCAGCACATGAGCTCTCCCGAGAGAGTTGTTCATCAGCGCTTTGATGCATCCGATGAGAGAGGTATGAATGCGAGACTCGGAGGCCTCATAGTCCATGCCTTTCAGGAAGTCCAGAATGCACGTCAGGCCATCCAGATCGATGAATCGGGTGACGAACCTGCCGGGAAGAGTTAAATAGGGAAGTGTGTTTCAGGGCCTGTCGCCACCATCCAAGGGACTAGAGCAGTGGTGGCGACCCTACGGCACGCGGCCGCAGTGGGCACGCAGAGCCCCCTCCGTCAGCACGCGAGCCAAGTCACCCAGCAGCCGAGCATCAGATAACAGCGCACATAGGGGCCATGCGCTTGCTCGGAAAGGCGTAGTGGCGCCAGGTGATGACATCACGAGCCGCGACTCATTAACCGTGACTCATCCGAGCTTTCGCATGGCCGGTCAGTGCACTGCCAAGGAGATAGATAGATAGATAGATAGATAGATAGATAGATAGATAGATAGATAGATTTGCTTCGACTGGCTGTGAGTTTTAATACATTCGTTTTTATTAACACAAGATTTTAGCTTTGAATTTTCTTATGAAAAATTGAACTTTAATATCTAAGATTTAGCAAAGAGAGAGTGAGATTCTTTTAATGTTGTGCTGTCCCCCTGGCATATTTGAACCAAGGTTTGACAAACGATCAGCATGCATGCAACAGCGAAGATCACATTAATTGCGCAAAAGCAGGCCAAATGCAAACCTTTACCTTTCAATAAAAAGCTGCTTGTATCATTGAAACAATGAGTTGTATGAGTTGCTTTTTCTAAACTAAAACCTCAGTATTCAGGTTTTATTGCAGTGTTGGCACTTTGCGATAAATAAGTGGGTTTTGGGTTGCAGTTTGGGCACTCGGTCTCTAAAAGGTTTGCCATCACTGGACTAAATCCTCTCCCACTGCTGCCTTCTAAAAATATTCTCTTGACGCCACGAATAGGGCCAAGATAAACTCTAATGATTCCGGCAGCCTGTCTGGAATCATTAGTCAGTTGTTCCAGAAACCAGGAGTGCTTCATAGCTTACAAGGCAACTATTCTCTGGAAGAGGACATGGCCTGAGGCAATGGAGGCAAGTGGCTGGAGGACCACGAGGTGTGGAAGATACCAGCAAGCACTTGCAAATCCAGGCTGGAAATCCATGGAGTAAGGAAGGGAAGTGGTTCCAGGAGAAACGCTCACAGGAATAATCCTGCGGGATTAGCATGATTTCCCAGAGTGCCGAGCAAGCTGATGGTGAATAATCACAGAATCAGAACGACTGGATTTGTGGCAAAGTCTTTCCAAGAGTGCTCTGTTTGGCATCAGTCCCTTTGCTGCTGTTTCTGCCGGTAGGTCTCTCCTAGCAGGCAGACACCTTGTTAAGTCCTCGTCTCTGAGGAGACCCAGCAGGCACCTTTCCTGGTTTTCTACCTGCTGGGCACTCTGCTATCCTCGCTTCTCCTCTTCTCCTCCTTTGTCTTCCTTCACTCCCCACATGCCTCCACCATTCAGACTTGCATTGTTATCTTCCTCTCCATCTTTTCCCCCTCTCTCAGAATCCTCAAACTATTTAAAGCAACCTGGTCCTTATCCCTTTATGCTTTGTGGAGCTAGACCTAACTAACTGGTGGTTTTTAGTGGGAAATTCGGAGGCTTGTCTTGTGACCCCTGACTTCTCCTCACAGTAAATATATTGGGAGAAACAGGTGGGAGCATTCGCTTAGTGCACAGGTGCTGAACCCTGGACAAATGGCATCCCTTCCTCCTTCGTAGCACCCCCTTTCCTGGACTGCTGATCATTCAGGGGTTTTCCATTGAAGGGCTTAATGAAACACATCTAATTACATTGTGTAATTACTGGCTATCATAGCAATATGGAAATATGGAGGGTGTTTATGGGGCACCTATAAATCCACCTCCTCTGGGGCTAACCTGGACCTCTGGGTTCCTCAGACAGTCATACACCATTTTCCCAGAATCAGAAGTTTGATGGGGTTCTATTGGGTGATTTGCAGTAGACTGGTATTAAAACCCTATTTAACCCTATATATAACTTTCCTAAACCATCCCTTACCGAGGTCTTGGGATGGTTTAACAATAAAACAATATAAAATAAAACACAGTGTCCTAAAAAAATCCAGCCTACAATAAAACCCCAATTAAAAGAATCAGCTCCTAAAACATTGGGAAAATAAAAGGGTTTTAGCCTGGCACCCAAAAGAATATTTTATTTATATTCCTATCAAGGTACCTCTTCAGCTTAGATTTGAGGGTCTACCATTGTCACCGATGTCAAAAACAACTTTGGCAATGAATTTATTGAACACCATGATGAAAAATGGATGCAGAATATACGTGAGCAAAAGAAAGCCTATATTCTCCCTTTCTGGGGCTCGATTTGGCAGGGGAGCTCCGTGGGCCTCCAGAGATTGCCTGGGAGAGTGACCGGTCAGCTCCTCTCCCAGAGCAAGAATAAAAGACAGCAGCTCTTGCCATGGATTTTATGAAGTTCCTTTCTCCTGCTATTGCAGTCTGTCAGTACACATGGGCTCAAACTCCCACTTCCCAGAAATTGCTTTAATATGGCAAACAGTTTAATTCTTACAGCAAAAGCAGCGCTTATCTATAAAACGACTGAGAAAGGCAGCTCCAGGGCAATTATCTCTGCTGCTCTTCCTAGCAAGAGGAAGGCCATAATGCTCTGGCACATCTGCAAGAAACTTCAAGGAAGGTCAATGCACTTGAACCATAATAACCTCCCTGCCATAGCAAAGTTCACACAACAGCAAATGACTCCCAGTCGTTTTAACATCAGCCACAACTAAGAAGCCTTCAGACCTTCATTAGGTTGCTTTGAGGGAAACCAGGGTTGGGTTTGGCATGAATGTTTTTTTGGGCTTGGTTCTGGTACTGTTCTGGTTCTGGCAGTAGTCTAAGCATGTAATCAAAGGCACCCAGTCCGTCATTCTTAGCCTATCTTCAACTCACTTCAGCTGCCATTTTTCAGCTGGCTCCATTCGGTCAACCTGACAGTTCCAGGAAAAAGCAAAAGAGATCCTGAAGGTTTGAAATCCACCCACCCCGTTCTAGGCTACGGGAACTGGGCTTCCTCTCTCCCTGCCTTCAGAGGAGTTTGACCACCCACCTGTGTCAACTCAATTTTATCATCTGTTATTACGGGACGTGTGTACGTGTGTTCAAGCTGCTGGCCAGTATTTTTGAGCTCACAGCAAGAAATAGCACTTGCCTCATGGGTTTGGTTCTCAGCGCTGTCTTCAGACTCTCTATAGTTTTGTTTCTCTCCTCTTCATCTTCTTTTTCCAAAGCAAGCAATGATTTTCTCTGCAAAAGAAATTGCACACGAGTCAAGCCAATCACCACCGAGTTCATTTACATATTGCCACAAATACAGTGTGCTCAATGCAGATCACAGAGATGGACAAATCCAATACTTCTCTGGGTATCAAGTATATTTTGCAGTTACAAGAAAGGGACTTCCACTTAGGCGTTTCTCTATGCCGGCACCCAGCTTTGCATCACTTTCCCAAAGGAGACAAGGTCTGTACAATTTCATGATGAGGGGTGTTGGGTGCTAGTCCTCATGGTTGTAAGGCTCTGGAAACCTTCTCAAGTCTGACCTACACCCTTGGAAGTCCTTCCAAAGGCGTAGCTCATCCATACTTCAAGAGATTTCCAGAAGGGAAGCCAGCTGGAAGAGCATTTCCGGTGGTTAGAGGACAAGCGTTTTCAGCATCTCGCAGAGTAACTTGGCCTGTACCAGCAGAAGCAAGTTAATTATTCACTGCCCTGGAACACCATGCTTGCGGGCTGATCAGCACATTCTCCGATTTATGACACACTATCAGCACAGGTGTGTGGAGCTGCACAAATTCCACAGCTGATGAACACCACATTCTGCACTTCTTCTGCGACTGCAGGTTTGTACTCCATGCAGCATGGCAGAGCAGCCTGTGACCATCCAGATATTGGTGGGCTCCTCCCACTAGCCCTGACCATCAACCATGCCGACTGGGGCTGGACCCAGCAGCATGTGGAGCAAGCCAAGTCCATCCTTCAGGAGCAGCAGAGTCCCAGGATGTCCCCTTTGACTCCTATCCTGTGGTGGGTAGACTTCAGGCTTGAGGGATCTGCTTTTTATACTAGATTCCAAAGATCCACCCAGCAGCCCCTGGCACAAAAGACACACTTAGTATTAAAAGGATTTGAAACGGTTGCATTTGGTTTGAGTTCCCCAACTAAATCACGCTCACAGTTCTTTCCAACTTAAAAAAATCATGCTTACTTCTATCAAACTTGGGACTCTTTTTATTATTGGCTAGAGAAATGGGACTTCGTATAGGTTTAAATATGTTTTTAAGTTATCATAAATGGAAAAAAATGTGGGGGCTGACCCAGCAGGCCCGATGTTTTTGATGATTGATGTTGTTTTTAGTTTTTCTTTGTTTTTAGGATTATAATTTCAAATAAAACTTATGAAAAAAAATCATCCTTGATAACTTCAAATCTTTCTTTAGATGTGGTTGCTGCTTGCTGCTTGGACCGCACAACTGGGAGCAAGAAACCCTCGGGAGAATCTGCTGTCAATCACCCAGAAATCTACCAACAGATTCACATTTATCTTCTGCCCACCCTCTGGGCACTAATCAATGCGTTCTTTATGCAGCCAGGTCCCCTCCTGACTTTGCCATCTGTGCTTGATGTTTGCATTTTAAAGAGACAATGCAAGGAAGAACTCCTGGTGGCAGCTCCCCCCCCCTTCAATCCAACACTCCCTCCTGCCCCCCAAAAGGTTTTTAAGATTCAAAGCCACCTGTGCACTTTTCAAAGAGCTTCAACAACTCGGGGGTTCAGAGGAGTTCTAATCTGAAGCACAGTTCCAGCCTAGAGACAGTTTATCTTTCTATACCCAGAACACGCACGTGGAAAATGCTTTTTCTGGAAGATGGCCAAGAAATGATGGCACATACTGCCTGCTTTGTTCCATTGTTCCACTGCATTTAAGAAAGAAATAGCTTCTTAAGGTTTACCCCAGGGCTGGGGAATCTCCGGCTCTCCAGAGGCAGTTTGACTACAATTTCCATCATCCCTGATCATCATCCCTGGCATCTGGAATCCCACAGACTTCACAGCACCGTGTACCATATTTCTTCTCTCCTTGCAAGAAGCATTGAAGGTATCTGAATAGATTGAGATGAGTTTGGATTTCTATGAATCAAACTTACTGCCTCTGCAGAGAGACAGTTTTTTCTACATCATGGAGATTCAGTGGATTGGATACCAGGATTTTCACTTCCACTTATTCTCATTAATACTAAATTGCATTAAGAAATGCACATTTGCTAATGCATCTAATTTGTGTAAGTACAGCAAAATAATTATCGACCGATAGCCAATATTCCCTTGGAGGACAAGGTGCTCCAGTGCATTCAGTCGGGCAGCTCCAAGCACTCTTGGAGGAAATGGATCATCTCGATCCATTTCAATTGGGCTTTAGGCTTGGGTTTGGAATGGAAACCGCCTTGGTCGCCCTGTGGGATGACCTTTGTCAGGAGAGCGACAGGGGGAGTGTGACCCCCTGTAAAATCGGACAACCACATGTTGGGGATCGCACGAGCAGAGCCGGCTGGAGCCGGGGGTCAGGCTAGATGGCCCAGGCGGACCCTTCTGACTCGCTCAGTTTCTATGTTTCCATGACCCTGTTGATTCTCCAGGACCTCTCAGTGGCTTTTGATACCATCATGGTGTCCTTCTGGAGAGGTTGGCTGGATGGGGAGTTGGAGGCTCCACTTTGCAGGGACTTTGCTCCGACCTGTCTCCAGCTGGTGGAGCTACCGCTCTGTGCCATGGCACTTGGGTCATGGAGTCCCATTTTGTCCCCCGTGCTCTTTAATGTCTACATGAAACTCCTGGGGGAGGCCATCAGGAGGTTCGGGTTCAAGTGTCACCAGTACGCTGATGACACCCAGCTCTACCTCTTGTTTTCATCCAATCCAGGTGAGGCAGTGACTCTCCTGAACCAGTTCCGCTAAGTCAAAACAGAGCTGGGTGGTTATTAAGAAGGACGGATCCTAGAGAACATTATCACACCAGTCCTTCGCCAGCTGAACTGACTGCCTGTCACAGCCCAGGCCCAATTCAAAGTACTTATGCTAACATATAAAGCCTTCAATGGCTTGGGACCAAGATATCTCAATTTATCCCTACCAGACCACTCAGATCTTCAATGGAGGCCCTCCTTCGGGGGGGATTAGTTAGAAAAAAGGACCCTATTATTGTATCTCATTTTTGGACCTCTCTTCCAAAAGAGTTCCAACTGGCACCCTCATTACTTTGTTTTGCTGCCAAGTAAAGACCTATTTATTTAGTATTTGTTTTAGAATCATGCTATTATTTGGTTTTTGCTGCTGGTTTAATTGTTGCTTATATTGTTTAGCATCCTCTTATTTTTGCACGCTTTTGATCCGTAAACACCCAGACACTAATTCCATGATCATTGGGAGACAGTGTGGTTTTGTTAAGAACAAGTCCTGACAGATCCATCTTATTTTATTTTTGGATAGTGGAACTTCCTTAGTAGATCATGGAAATGCCAAGGACATAATATATCTTGACTTCAAAAGTGCTGCACAATGTCCTGAGCAGAGTCAGCTGCCCTGAGTTGAGAGGAAAGCTCAGGGATGCGGAAGGGCCAAGTTCCTTTTCAGAAAAGTTCCCTCCAGTGGCACACAGGGCCAAAGGGATGAGAGCACAAGAAGCGCCTGAAGGATCAGACCCAGGGTCCATCCAGTCCAGCCATCTGTGCACACTCGGGCTAACTGCCTGCCCACAAAATCCTACAAGCGGGACAGAAGTGCGCCATTGCCTTCCCTCATACCAAAGGCAAAAGAGGTGGGGTTGAAAATGCCAACATATTTTAGTTTAAAGCACTTACTGCGAGAAGCTAAGCCGCTGGAGAGGCACTGCAACCCTTTAGAATGTGAGGAAGAACAGCTCAAAACCAGGAGGTTCGGGAGAGCCAGGAAGTGGCCAACGGGCAAGCCAGATTTGGTGGGCAGGTAGAGCACAGACTTGGAGGGGTGGACTGCCACAATCTCTAAAGCTCCCTTCTCCCAAGGTGCACCAAGAGCTTTCTGTGAATATGCATGCATGCATATTCAGTTTTTTGTAAATGCTGAGCTCTCCTTTTTTTTTTTTTTTGCACAATTGAGGATTAAAACAACTGCTTTGGGATGAGAGTGGTTTAAAAGAACAATGACAACACTGCATATTGATTCACACACACATATAGGGGGAGCTCCGTCCCAGGCAGTTAATGGTGCATGATGGGTCACCCGCTTGAACAGGTCTAGTTGTCAGTGAAATCATTTTGGCCATTTCAGCTACTTGATGGTTGTATCTTTTAATGCTGCATTTCATCATTGTATCTGTGTTTTGTGAATTGCTGTGAGCTGAGCAGAGAGCTTTGGCTACTGGGTGGTATAGCCAAATAGCCTTTGCAGTGGATGCCGTATGAGGCGAGGCTGGGGGAACTGGGTCTCTTCAGCCTGGTGAAGAGGAGACTCAGAGGGGATCTGTTGGCGACATACAGGCATGTGAGGGGGTGTCACACGGAGGTGGGTAGAGACCTGTTCTCCCCTGCAGAGGAAGGCAGGACACACTCCAACAGAGCCAAGCTCAGGGAACCCAGGTTCAATTTAGATGCCAGGAAGCACTTCCTGACAGTCAGGACCCCGAGGGTGTGGAATGGGCTTCCACAAGAGGTCATTGAGGCCCCATTGGTGTGGGTGTTCAAGGACAGGCTGGACATCCACATGGTGGGCATGTCGTGAGCGGAGCCGGCTGGAGCTGGGGGTCAGACTAGATGGCCTGGGAGACCCCTTCTGACTCGCTCTGTTTCTATGTTTCTTGAAGACAGTCTGGATATTTCAATTGGTATAAAATAAAGAAGCCAGGCTATTGACAGGGACTGGCAGATGTGACCATATAACGCTGGACTTGTATCATCTGTGTTGGCTACTAATTGAAGTCCAGGCCCAATTTAAGATGTTGACAATATGTTGATAATATTAAGTCCAGGCCCCATCGGTGTGGGTGTTCAAGGATAGGCTAGACATGCACATGGTGGGCATGTCCTGAGTGGAGCCGGGGGTCAGACTAGATGGTCCGGGAGACCCCTACTGACTTGCTCTATTTCTATAGAAATTAAATCAATAATCATAAACAGTTGGTTCCAAGTTTTATGAAGAGTGCCTATGAAAAATGTAATGCATGATACTGTCCTTATGAAGATCCCACCTTAGATTGAGGAGAAGGCGAAGGAGATGGAGAATTTCATTTCTATACTGCCCCATAGCCGAAGCTCTAGTACATGGGTCCTTAAAGTATGGGCCACGGGACGGATCTGGCCCACCATGGCCATCCATCTGGCTCACGCCGCCCTTTGCTGCCCGTGCACGCTTGCTGCACGGGCAGGGAGGTGGTGGCTTGCTCACTCGGAGATGGTCTCTGAGCGAGCGAGCGAGCTGCTGCTACCTGCCTCCCGTACACTCGCCGCTGCCTCGCAGCGTGTGGGGGGGAGGTGGTGGCTTGCTTGCTTGCTCGGAGATGGTTTTGGACTCACTAGGAGACCTCTGAGTGAGCGAGCCACTGCCCCGCGCGCCCGATGCCGCCCCGCGCGCACCCGACGGCACCTCACTGGCCTGTGCCCCCAGGCACCCCCACCTCACCGGCCCCTGACGGTCACCGCAGCCTTTCCACTGGCCCCCTATTCAAAAAGTTTGAGGACCCTGCTCTAGAAGCTCTGGGACTCAACAACACAAGAAGAGCTGTGCTGGCTCAGAACCAGGTCCCTCTCGTCCAACTTTCTGCTCACAAAGAGGCCAACCGGCTTCTTGTGGGCCCACAAGCAGGACAAGAATGCAGCAGCCCCTCCTGCCCATGATCCCCAGCAACTGGTGCACAGGGACACACTCTCTCTAACATGGGAGGCAGCATATAGGACTAAAAGCCCTGGATAGCCTTCTTTTCCAAGAAATTCGTCCAACCTCCTCTTGAAGCCTGCCATGTTGGTGCCCATTGCTACATCCACAGGTGAGACTCATTGTCTGCGTAGTCCAGTCTTGTCTCCTTTGACTGGACAGAGCCATCCAGAATCTCAGAGGAAGAGCTTCCCACCACCTACTATTTAACAAGCAGGGATATCAAGAGTTGCAGCTGGGACTTTCTGCACGCAAAGCATATACTCCCCCCATAAGTCTAGCCTTCTTCAGTCCAGATGGCTCAGAGTACGGTCTGAAGGCCCATACGGCACCCGCCCTGTTGAAGCTAAGCAGGCCTGGGGCTGGCCTGAGCTTGGAGGGGAGACCACCTGGGAACTGCTTGGAGCCCCCTCGAGTTCCACAAGGGGAGAAAGGTGGGATGTAAAGATAACAAATAATAAAATGTTTTGGACTACTGCTCCTATCAGCTGGTTAAGGTTGGGGGGAACTGCAATCCAAGGGCACCAGTTTGGGGAAGCCATTAAGCAGGGTCCGCACTGGCTGAGTGGGTCTCTTTGTGCAGATCTACAGCAAACCCACCCATTCAGTTCAATTCTCCTGGCCCAGTAGCATCCTGGATTTGGTTTCAAAGTGCCATTACATGCCTCAGCTTCAACCATCTGTGGATAATAAAACTGGGGTAAGTATTTCCTTTAGGAGTTTTTTTTTAAGTCATTGTTTCCGCCAAAGCTGTCTTTGAGGTGCTGATGTAATCAGACAGCTGTCCCAGGGATGCTAGAGAAGGAAGCTGCCCTGCAGAACTTACAACCGATGATGTCATCCTTTCATGCCACCGATTCGCTGTAATAATCCAACAGGATATGATTTCTCTCGCCACAGCTAAGGTGCAGGAGGGTCACTGAAAACTGGCGAGGCGTTTTATGGTTCCAACAAAGCAATGGACACATCTGAGAAACACAGATTTGCAGCTACATCCAGAATGTCGGACTTTAACACGAGGCAAGCAAACTTCAAAAAGAAAGGGTGGTGGACCGCACGGTCGGTCGAGGCAGCTGGCACCCCAAACCTTTCATTGCTAGAGGGCTTACGGATTAGTACAGTAGCAACATTCCTCTGCTCTCCTCTTCACATGAACTTGAGTTTGCTTAAAACGGATGTCGTTCCTAAGTGGCCTTCAGTCTAATGCTGTGGAGCCCTTGGTCTAAGATGAAACGCTCTCTGTGCGCGGGCACATTCAGACCACCAGCCAGCACGCCTTTCCCCTCCCCTCCCCTCCCGTCCCCTCCCCTCCCTTCCCGCCAGTTCCTTTGGGTGGGGAGAGTGAAAGAAAAGGGGAAAGAGAGAGAAAGAGAAAAGGACGACCCACTCTCTTTTGGGCTCTGAACCTGCCCACAGCTGGTTTTGGCTCCATCCCCCCTCAGCACATTGACCATGAGCAAATCTGTTCTTTGACAAGGAAGGGGTTGTCCAAGTTAAAATGCATCTAGCCAGAGGTGTTCACCAGCTCCAGCTCTTTCCTCATCCGACAACACCAATTCAAATCTTTAGAAGTGGACTCAGGAAGGGTGGGGGGAGTGGTGTCGGTGGCTGCCCAGGAGATAAACAAATTCCTGGAGGAGAAGCCCAGTGATGGCTACCAGCTGCGACAGCTCTAGGTTACCTCCAGGATCAAAGCCAGAATGTCTCTCATGATCAGCTGCTTGGGAAAGTGAGCGAGCGTGAAGACCCTCTTGTTTTTGCTTTGTTTTTATTTCGCTTGCATCCTGTCCAACGGCTGAAGCGTTCTGAGCAGTCCACAAGTGCGGCCACTGCCTCCCATCCTGCAGCCAGGTGGCCACTGTGTGAAGACAGCGCTGGACCAGACGGACCCGGCTCTGATTTGGTGGGACTCTCCTCATGTTCTTAAGGGGCCTCTGAAATGGCTCCTGAGTCCAAGCATCACTAGGGAAGGCTGCAGGGTCCCAAAGGCAGCATTCCTTCTGCAATGCATGCCAAGACAGACTCCCCAGAACCACACCGGGAGAAAGCATGGTGCAGCTCTGTGGGTCACGGCTGCAGCACTCTCGCCCTGGTCAAAGGAACAGCAGATGCAACGTGAGAAAGAGGCTTCCCCAGCCCTGTGCAAACCTCCCAGCTGCCAGGCAGTGGTTGAGCGAACCCTTGCCCAAAGGGCCCGTAAATCAACTCGCTGCAAGACAAGCCGGGCTTGTGTCCTTTGATCAAGAGGCTCTTGTTGAAGTCGTTAGAGAGTTTGCGGAGACAACTCTCCCCCACGGTTGCCAGCACACACATGGCACCCTGCCATCGCAGTTGCTTTGACAGCTGGAGACGCAGCCTCCTCGGACATTTCCAGCACCGCCTTCTCCTCCCGTGCATCCAGCCCCCCGACTCTTTATCTCCTGGTTATCGCGGGCCCGCTAAAAGTCCTTGGCCATCCCGGCTTGCTAATGGGCCCCCCATGCAGATGTCTTCCCTCTGCAATGCAGTGCCAGAGAGAAGACCTGCTGATAAATATAAAGGCTCCATCGGGCAAAAGCAGCAGAAACCGTGCAGGAAAGCTGCTGGATACATGATGCACGTCACAGATCCGGGGCCTTCAGGAGGGCCGGGTGCCTGGGATTTGGCAAACTGCAGCCATAGCCTCTTCCTCTGTCTCTCAGTGTTGGACCTTCTGCCCAAGTGCCCCCGGCCGAGTGTCTCTGGGCTGGAACACACCCTTTGGATCAAGAGGGGTTCCCTACCCCTACTCTTCGGCTTCCAGTCTGTGCTTAGCAGTGTCTCAGCTGTGCCTTCCGAAGACCCGAAAAGAGCTAAATACAGAATCCCATCGGCGGAAGACAGGGCTTCCACACCTGGCCTATTTCACCAGAAAAACCAATAAAGAAAGCAAAATAAAAGAGCATTGCAATGGATAGTCTGCATGATTTCTACCAGATACTACATTTTATTTTCTGCTTTTTTTAATGACCCAAGGCAAGTATCTAATGTTGCTCCTGTGTAGTGCAGGCCCATTGAAATCAATGACTCACTGAAGCCCTTGGTCCTCTGCAATATTTGCACATGGTGGGCCTGTCATGAGCGGAGCCGGCTGGAGCCAGGGGTCAGACTAGATGGCCCAGGAGACCCCTTCTGACTCGCTCTGTTTCTATGTTTCCAAACAGAACTACCACTGGAAATGACTCCATGGACACAAAGCCTGGTCCTTAATTCTCAGCATGAGTTTCCTTTTCACCCAAGCCAGGAAGTAATTTCTTAGGAACTGCACTTACAGCAGCCATGGAGTTCAGTTGATCAATGTAGAATTCTGGCCAGCTTGTGGCTCCTTTATTTTCTTCTTGGTCCTGAAACAAAAAGACAGAACAGGGTCAGAAGACATGGGTTGCCTTGCTTACCTTTTGTATTCACAGTACCTATTCAAGGTTCATTACTCCAAGCAAGTCAGCACAGTTCCTCGTGCTGAGTATTTCCTGCATACCAGTCGACTTTCCTGGGTCTTCCAATTTAATGTCTCAGCCTCAGATCGTTGCAATGGTGCCAGCGTGCTTCCATTACACAATGGTGTTAAGGGTCCTTTTTATGAAAGCTTAATAGTATTCTTCAAATTAGTGCTTGAGTGCTTACTATGTACGGGAACAATTGAAGGCAAAAGGAGAAGAGGACGGCAAAGGTTGAGGTGGGTGGATGGGGTGGCTGGAGAGGTGGGTGTGGGCTTGGGTGGGCTCTCGGGGAGGGTGGAGGACAGGAGAACCTGGAGGAATGTTGTCCATGGGGTCGCACAGAGTCAGGCACAACTTTATGACTGAACAACAACAACAACAACTTACTATGTAATTCACAAAGAATAAACCACAATATTGGACAACTCCTGCTCCACACAAGGAGGCATAATACACTTTTAAGGGCCAATTTATTGCAAACAGCATTCCAACAGGTCAAAGACTTTCGCTGCAAGCAGTTGTAAGGCTTAAAAACATGCTTTGAATTCTGCAATTTGTTTGCGGATGTCTAAAGTTACCAATGAAAGCTACTAAACTGATCTGCCAATGGGATATTCTAGGCTTCATGGAATATTTGGCAACCTGTGACTGCAAGCAAAAATATTTGAACAGGTATGGCACACCTAACCACACCTACCACAGCAGCCTGGGGCAAGTCCCTGAGATCTTCCAACCTGTTCTTGATGAGCACATCCTGCAACTCTGGGTTTGGCAACGTAAGCTATAAATGGGCCAATCTATGGATTTCGGCGTATGTGGGTTGCAACCTCTCCAGCACTGCTGAACAGAAAGACAGGCTGGAGACTCCCAGGCTGCTGGAGGCGTCGCCATTCCATCAGACAGGTAATAAAGCATATAAAGTCTCTGCATTATTATTATTATTATTATTATTATTATTATTATTATTATTATTACATTTCTATGCCGCCCCTTGCCGAAGCCTTGGGGCGGCTTACAACACAATAAGATACATTGAAATACAACAGAACATAATAAATACACACACAACACAAGATGTGTGCATGGTGCACATGCGCACAAATGAAGAAAGACAGAGCTGTTTTCCATGCATCATGCAGCACGGCTGTGTTGCATTAATCTAATCTTTTATCTTACTGAGGAACTAAAGAAGCAGCTAAGAGGAGAATTAAGGCTGTGGAAGAGGGAGGGAACGTCTTTGAGCTGGACAGCTGAATGCCAGTTTGGAGAAGCTTTCAGGGATGTCAACCCAGGGGCAGGCATGCTTTACTGAAGTGCTCTTACTGCCAGCAACTTGGCCTTGGGATCTCAACATTTCAGAATGGGGAAAAACAGCACAAACCCTGGAAAATCCACCCAATGATCAGCAGTGGAGGGGAGGGATGTAACAGCCCAGATTGCAAAATCACATCTTCAGGCTGATGACAACTTAGCATGGCACAAATGCTGCTCTGTATGGCTCCTGGTGTTTCGGGTCAACCTTCAGAGCCCCGGTGGCTTGCTCATGGGGGAGCCAAGGAACAGGGGCTCTCCTGACTCCTGCTGCAGGTCACAGCACCCCAGCAAATTGTGAAATAAGCTGCCCGGAGACGCTTGCCAGTTGTGTTATTCCATCAGCAGGGCAGGACCTCTTAATTTCCTAGGAATTTGTTTCCATTGCTTGAAATCCTTCACCCTATTTTAAATTTTCATACTATTGCTTAATTTGACTTCCCCCTTTACTTCTATTTTATATTGTAGTTTTTTTAAATCTTTGCAGTCTATTTTACACTGTATTTGACCATTTTGATTACTGGGAACGACACCCAGAGAGTCTTGGTATTCGAAGATACAGAAAGGGAATAAACAAAGGTGAAAATGAACTAAGGCAAAAGCAGGGCTTGGCTTAGAATCAGCAGAAAGTTAGGAAAACCTCTCCAAGGAAGAGGTTCTGCATAAGAAGCTAGCGATTGTTGTAGTTCATGTTTTTCAGGATAAGATTGTCCTTCAGAGTGACAAGCAGTTTCCCAATCAATCAAGAGTGCCACTAGCAAGAGATGAAGACCAGCTTGTCACAAAGCCAAATTTGCAGGGGAAGCTGTTAGCCCTGCTGAGGAAACCAGCAAATTCACGGTCATTTCCTCTGGTCCCCGAGGAACACTGGGCGAGAGGCGGCTATCGCTAAACAATCCACTGTAGGAGAACTGGGTCACTTGTAGACAAAACCCTTCGCTCGACTGGCACATGGCCAAGAGCTGGTGCGGCAAGATTCATGGGAAAAGAAGCAGTTGCGCTTTTCTATTGTAACCTCAAGCGTGATGGAGAGTTAATTCAGTTGCGGCTCAAGAAAAAAGCCACCAAAACCAGCAGGGCAGAAATGCCAGCCAATTGCCAACCCTTTGTGATTCAGCTGTACAATCTTCGAAAGCAAAGCTTTTGGCGATTTTGACCTAGAGAAGCCACCTGTGTGTAGAGCAGTCTTCCCCGGCCTGAATGTAAGAACGTAAGAATGGTTCTGCCAAGTCTATCTAGACCAACACTGTTCACACCTTGGCCTGACCATGGCAGAACATGAGCGTGATCCACCTGCTGAAGTTCCTCTGCTACCTGCAGGTATATTGGAGAACATACACAGCCACTGGGACCAGCAGGCACTGATAGCAACATCCTCCACGGATATGTCTATTTCCCTTCTAAAGGCACTGAGATGGGTGGCTTTATCCTGCCACATGAGTATCTCGTCTGGATTGCTGCAATGCGTTTTACTTGGGGCTGCCTTTGAAAATGGCCCAAACACTCCAGTTCGTCCAGAACAGGGGCGGCCATGACTTTCATAGAATCACAGAAGAGCTGGAAGGAGCCATGAAGGCCATCGAGTCCAACCCCCTGCTGTTGTGGGACACCACCCCACTCAGATGGCTGTCCATGTTGAATGGCTCCGGTGTGGGAGAGCCCTCCACCTCTCCAGGCAGCTGGTTCCACTGCCGTATTGCTCTGACAGTGAGGAAGCTTTTCCTGATGTCCAGCCTGAATCTGGGTTGTTGCAACTTGAATTATTCCATGTCCTACACTCTGGTATCAGCAGGAAGAGATCTTGGCCTTCCTCTTTGTGACAGCCTTTGAGTTCCTTATAGAGGGATATCATGTCCCTGCTCAGTCTTCTCTTCTCAAGGCTGAACATGCCCAGTTCCCTCTCTCCCTCCTCATAGGGCAGTGTTTCCAAATTCCGGATCATGTTTGTTGCCCTCCTCTGGATCCTTTCTAATTTTTCTGCATCTGAAGGACACAGAATGGTCCTCATCAAGATATTAAGCCAGTCTTCCATTGGCTGCATTGTAGTCTGGGCCCAACTGAAAGCGCTGACGTTAATATGCAAAGCCCTAAATGGCTTGGGGCCAGGATATCCGAGGGAACGCCTTTCTCCATATATCCCTTCCTGATCACTATGTTCTTTGATGGAAGTCCTCCATGAACCATCCCCCAGTGAAGTGATGGGGAAATGGCTCAGGGAAGGGCCTTCTCTGAGATTGCACCTCATTTATGGACCACCCTCCCCACGGAAGTGCACCTGGCACCGTCGCTGCTAGATTTTCAGTGCCAGGTAAAGACGCTTTTATTTAACCAAGCATTTTAGTAGCTATTGGTTTTGCCCTTGTTTAAATTTCCATCACTGTGCGCTTTGTTCTAATTTTTGCCGATTGGTAGTTTTAACTGGATTTTATGCTTTTAACTGTTATTTTATTGTTCTTTTTCCTGTTTTATTGCAGCTGCCCTGAGAGCCCTTTGGGCTACGGGGCAGCATATAAATACAGTAAATAAATAAATACATCTTGTTGAAGTCTATTCCACAGTTGAACCATGCACCGTGTAAATGAGTCCTTCTACTCTGAATCTCCCACCAATCAGCTTCATACGCCGATGAAGTGAGAGGGAGAAAATGTCTCGCAATCCACTTTCTCTGCTCCATAAATGATTTTCTGCACCTCAATCATGTCTCCTGTTCCTCATTTTTCTTGGCTTGACCCCGTGAATTTCTGGCCCCGTTCCTTTTGCTTTCAGCCATGACCACCAGTGAAATGTGACCCCAAAGGTTTTTCTAAATAGACTGCGCCCTCTGGCTGAAAGAGCTTTTCCACATGGTTTAACGTATACTCCCTACGTGTTTCACACATTTTTATATGTATTATAGCTACAAATCATGCATTAAGTCACATCTGCTGACCTTGTGATTCCTTATATTTTAATGGTACTGGTTCTAATACTGCTCCATGTAACCCGAACCCTCCACTGCACACGAAAAGAGGGGCCACATTTGACAGTATATTAGGTCTAAGTTTGGCAAGAACAGATTTCCTGTTCTTCTCTTTCCTTAGAGGCCTGGGTCAAACTCTCAAAGCCAGGCCAAAACTCATTCTGGTTCCCGATTCCTAGCTGAGCAGGTCAGAGGAAGCTGCCTCAGCTGGTCCAGGGACTCTGGGATGCAAGCAGTCAAGCTCCCAGGTAGCGCATGATCAGAGCTAGTGACCAGGGACAGCAAACAGGAGTTTGGCAGCGAAGGTCGTTACATTTTTCTGTTTTCCCCTGAGTTTCTTCCTCCCTTTGTTTTCTTCCTTGCAACACACTCTAATTTACTGGTAGGAGTGTGTTGTTAACCTTCAGGGAAGACAGGTCAACACACCAGTGGTGGTGACTGGCGCCATTTGTACAATGTTTGTCTTCCTGCCGGAGACTGACGTGGCCTAAATGTGCAACTAGTGCAAGCTGGCAGCTTGGTAGAAGAAAAGGTGAGAGCACTGGAGCAGTGAGGGTCCACCCTCAAGGTAATAAAAGAAGATGAAGAGTTTTTAGACAGAGAGGTGGAACTGCAGCACCTAAGAGTGGTGCAA